TAAGCTTTGGGGAAAGAGAGCAGGCTATCTACCCTCTAGGAGCCTGCAGTCTGGTGAAGGGAAATCAATCTGTGAACTAGTCATTGTGGTCATCACGAAAGAGTAGGTGCTGAAATAAATTCACATGCAGCATTTTATGAGGAAATTGGGAGAAACACCCTTACCCGTCAAAGGCTAAGGGACGGACATGGAGACACGAGGTACAGCGAAGTGAGACTTTAATTACAGCCTTGCAAGGTTTGGGTGTCTGATGGGCAGGCACATGGAAAAGGGCTGTAACAAGCAATTTATTTCCTAGTGCGCAAGTCCCCGACCCTGCCTCCTCATTGGCTGAGAGTACTATGGGGAGCACAATCTTCCCCAATGACGTCTAAAAGTACCCCAATTTACTACCCCTTGTAGGAAATTTCTTTATCTGAGGGCTCAGGACAAGACTGCAAAAAAGGCCCTCCCAAAACCCTGTGAAAGGAGAAATATTACGAAATGAAGAGAACAATAAAGGGCTATTAACTCATTACCATCTAAAGGACAACTTTTATCTATTCAGCGACCCCCCAGGAATGGGCTGGACCAGTCAGACACCTTTTGGGCTGGGCCTGAATTATTTCTGAAAATGAATCACTTAGTAGATTATTTTCTTACAGGAATGAGATCTGGCTGTGGCTAGGAGTGGAAAATGGATATGGGGAGGAAAAGAGAATCTTGAACGAGGAGGAGGAAGTGCCCTGGAGAGAATGGTGGGTAGGGCATTCTAGGGAAAGGAACCATATGGGTATATGTAGGGAAGATATAGGAAAATGGTCAGGGCCCCTCAGATGTTCAGAATCTTGCTGATCATTTGATGTAAATATGCACGTGCACCCAGGTGTCCTGGGTTATCAGACAAGTATAAAGGACAAGGGGCTCTGATACACAGTGTCCCCTGTCCCTGGGATGCCCGTGGGGCATGGGGAGGCCACTACTGCTGCTGGAAGCTGTTGCTGCAGGCTCTTGCTGCCAGGCCCCCTGGGATGCCCCAAGAGGCCACCACCACCGCTGCTGCTGCTTCTGCTGCTGGAGACCATTGCTGTAAGCTGCTGTTGCTGAGGACTGAGCTCGTGTCTTCTGCCAACAGCTCCAGGGACCTTTCCCAGTTACCTAGCTTGTGGACCTGTGTGCGAGGGGTCTGGTGACCCAGCCAGACACGTGAGGGGTCTGGTGACCTAGCCGGACACATGAGGGGTCTGGTGACTCAGCCAGGCATGTGAGGGGTCTGGTAGCCCTAGCCTGGTATGTAAGGGGTCTGTGACCCAGTCTGTACGATCGGTTTGAAGTGTCAGTGGGCCCTAACCCCTAGCCAGACAATACAAATGGTAAAACTTAGCATAACTAAAATAATGGAACATTTTGGCTTAAGTTATGATTTGCCTAACTCAACAAGTAGTGTAATCATCTAGCTTTACAGATCCCTAACCCGACAACCACATAGCCTAGAAATACTGAAAAAATTAAGAAAGTGAGGTATGTTATGAATACATAAAATATATGTAGGTACTGGTCTATTTTATCACTTACTCCCATAAAATATACAAGTCTGTTATAAAAAGTTGTCAAAACTCAGGCACACAAACGCAGATCACTCCTGGCACCATTCTCAGTCAAGATGCAGTATTAAATCATAACCACATAAAATTAACTGCAGGACATACTGTACTACTGTGATAATTTTGTAGCCACCTCCTGTGGCCACTGTGGTGAGCTCAAGTGTTGGATGTATCCTCTTAAAATGCTGTGTGATGCTAATCATCTCCATGTGAGCAGTTCATCTCTCCTGTAAATTGGGTGTCAGTAAACAGTGACCTTTTTCAGTTTTCTCTTCCTTCTGATTTTCCTAACATTTTCTTTTTTCTAGCTTTATTGTAAGAATGCTGTATATAATACATATAACATGCAAAATATGTATTAATAGACTGTTTATCAGTAAGGCTTCCAGTCAGTCATAGACTGTTAGTAGTTAAGTTTGGGGGAAGTCAAAAGTTGAATATGAGTATTTTTGACTGTGTTGGGGGTTGGTGCCCCTAACTCCCTCATTGTTCAGGGGTCGATGTTGTGAGGCTGTTGCTCAGAAAAGGAACCAGAACACCCAATTGAGAATTTAAAAAGGAGGGTCTTTATTAGCCGGCCGGCGACTGCTTCCCCAGATATTCTGGTAAGAAAGCAGCCCCGAGTCCAAGTTTGAGGGGTTTTTTAAAGGCAAAAAATCACATAGTCACACAGGCAAAAAATCGTATAGTCCTATAGTTAAAGTTATCATATAGTCATGAACTCTCACTTGGCATGAGGAGGGAGGGGGTTTGGCAAGGCCTAATGCAAACTGGTTACAGAAGCCAAGGTAAGCCAGTTAATCACTCAGGGACAGCAAGAACTTCCCCAGGGCAGTTCCTTCCCTAGGTTGTCTGGTTACATCTGGATACAGCTCTTGGTTTTATCAGCCAGGAACAGCATAGGCGGGAAACAGCAAAGGCAGGCAAAATTTAAAATTTTTCATCTGTATTTCTAAGTACAGGATAATTTCTAACTTCTAATTTCTACTTGGGGTGCTGGGGGGTTTTCAAACAAAAAACACTTTTCAAACAGTAAAAATGGCATAAACTAAATCAATCTGCCTTGTCACATCAGCTATATAGCCATCTACTTCCCTTACTTATTTCTATTGTTTACCTGGCCCCTAAAGGCAGTTGAGGTATTTGATCCCTAGCAGGGGTCCCTAGCAAGAGTTGGGTCAAGGGAATGGACACCGTCAAAGGTATTGAAACAGAGGAGTAGTTTGGTCAAATCTTGTAAGTGATGCGGTAAACACCTTACTTGCACATCTCTTAAATTTTTTCCCCAGCGGACTTAAAAGTCATATTTCGTGGAGCGGCTTACGTGGGAAATAGGAACAAGAACGTGAGGAAGGCAGCAGGTATATTGGGAAATATGCTGAATTCAGACTCAGACAGTTCTGAGCTTGATTCTCAGCTGTGCCGTGTACTAAATGTGTAACCTTGGAAAAGTCACTTAGCTTCTATGAGGTTCACTTTCCCAAACTGGTTAATGAGAACAATGATAATCAGTGCCCACAACAGGGTGTTGGGAGGAGAAAGAGACCGAGTATGCTGAACAGTGCCAGGATATTAGACAGACTCTCAATCATCGTTTGTTTTGTATTAAATAAATCAATATTGGGGCCATACTTAATTCTTTTTTCTTTGAATAGTGGTCTTAAAATGCGATAGGGTACTTTTTCTGAACCACACTTATAATAATCTAAACTTTGTAGGATATTTAACTGAATCCCTACTGATGTATCTTCAGACAAACCCAGAATGTTTCTTTTGTGGTAAATACCATTTTGTATTTAGACATGGTCATTTCACAAATATTTATTGACCGCCTTGTGTGCTTCTTGTCCTTAGAACTGTGGGGAAAGCTGTGCAGTTCCTTGTGTAGTTCATAATATCATTCACAAAGAAGCATGTCTATAAAAGTTAAGTCACAGTACATGGCCATGTATAATTGAGTGCCAAGTGGGTGGTATGCAGAAGTCTTTTTTTTTTTTTTTTTTATTAATTTTTATTTTTTTATTTTTTTATTTTTTT